AGCACAACAATGAGAAACATGCTTTTTTCACATGAGGTAAATAATTTCCGCGTAACTACGGGAGTCTCGCCACACTTGCACAAACTTTTCCTGTCCTTGTCCTTCGACAATGTCGGGCACATTCGGTAGGACTGTCACCCCCATGGATCGAATGGTATTGTCCTATTGTTAAACGCTAACCAAAATTAGTAAACAACATGGCGGACTCGACTCGCCGGAATGCCCGGGCGTCGATCATAAAAAGTGTGGATAGCTGCTCGAATTCGCCACTCCGGTTCAAATTTTGAGCATAAACGAATATTATACAGTACAAGGATTGCTGCCGCTGCCCCGCGCGTTAGGTATTCCCCCCTGTTCGCCTCCGCGCGTGCCCGGACACTCCCTCGCGTGTCCGGGCGTTAAATAGTAGGACCCCATATATATACATGTATATCCCGGGAAGATACAGGATATTCTCCAGGATAAAAGACCCCACTTGTACATGGTTCTGATTCCCTGAGTTGGAATAACAAAACAAAATCTATGACAAATCCTGATTAGTCTTTAATTTCAAATATTAATTTTCACGCTATTTCTGTAATTTACTCTCAACTGACATATATGTATTTGTGGTGCATTGTGGGTCTAAAACCAACTAGCCTCATTCATGTTGACTGCAAATATCACTTTTTGAATACCAAGTCAACTTTTGTTATGTTTAAAAAAATAAATCTGCATTATTTTTTTCAGATTTTCAAACAAAGGGAAATTGTGTCCATTTTGTCCAAAATTAAAAAAAAAATTACAGAAAATACTGCAAAATGTAGTGGGAAACTACATGCTATAAAAAAAATAATGGTTAAATGCTACAGAAATGTACTGTCAACCATTTAATTTTCACCACTACACAATTTCACAATTTTAGGATTTTATGGAATTTGTGAAGACAACATTTTGTGAAAGTCACTGACTGACACTCCATGTTGTATGACCCCAGAGAAATTTTCACTACTACAAATATTCAAACTCTCAATATTTATGAAAATTTGTTTCTCATGAAATTTCTTGTGAAATTAAATAAAAGATTCACAGTATGTCAGGAACAGTTTAGAAATGTTCAAGCAGACAGTGTAGTAGGATGCAGTAAAAATAAATAAATAAATATGAATGAATAAATAAATAAATAAATAAATAAATATGTGTGATATAATTACGTGTTATTAGCCCTATATAAGCATAGTTATTTTGAAGATATGTTGAAATCTGGTACTTAAAAGAACTTTCTTCTCTGCTACCTAAATCCATAAAAACCTATTTATGACGCAGACACTGTAGTACAATGAAAAA